TGTATAATTATTGATTTTTAAAATATTTATTAGCGCAAACTAGGGAGAGGGTCATCAGACAATGAACAGAGATGATAGGTGTTATGTAACGAACCGTAGTCGAACGGTAGTCTACTAGCCGTTCGAGACGCACTGATGTTATTTCGGTTTTTAACTCTTGGTGATTGTGGCAAAGAATGTTATTAAAGGTGAAGTAAATGTGTTAAAACTTTTCCTTATTTATTTCATCTGAGAATTATATTGTATTTAATGGAATCATTTATATCATTATCAGTAGCATACTAATACCAGACCTACAATTGTACGATAATATGTATTCAAATACAAATGAAACCTGAGAAATTTTTATAGCTTAGGAATCAGTTGTTGATTTTCTCCATGCAATATTTAGAATCGCATTCTCTGTATTTCTAGTTATTTGCGGCGTTCACATTAGAATAATTTTCTTATGTATCCATTAAATTTTTAGCCGACCATACCGACAGGTATGGTAGGCTATTAAGATCGGCAAAAAATATTTTTTTTAATTTTACTCAAAATGAGTTATTTGGATCATAAATGACCTAAATACAAAATATTTTTATGATGTCTGTCTGTCTGTCTGTCTCTCTGTCTGTCTGTCTATCTGTCCGTCTGTCTGTAACACGATAACTCAAAAACCGCTAAACCGATTTTAACCAAATTTGGCACAAAATTACTGTGGCATGCGAGAATCTGGCCATTAGTTTTTGGTGGGGGTGGAGGGTTGGTAAGGGGGTATGGGAGGGGGCTAAAAATTTGAAAAAATCGTCACTCCAAAATTACAGTACCTAGCGAAACGCGGTTTTCAATTTAAGATTAGGAATAATATTTGCAACAAAATTTGTAATAATATCAAAATCAGTCAAAGTCGCAGTTTTGAGATAAAAGAAATTGGAAAGATTCATTTACTTAAAAAACTAAAAGAACTGCCATCAACTTTTCATTAACATATTTTAGTATGGGCGGCGTGCCTCCCGGCGTCAATTTTTTTTCTATTATTTATTATGACAAATTATTGGTCACAATTGAGTGAAAATTTACCTACTTCTCTCCCTCTCTCTAAAAAATGTATCTATCTCTAAAAAGGAGTATTTTTATAGATTGTAACTTTGGTTTGAAAGCATATTATGTTAAAATAATGAAACTTTTCGACTATTGCAGCACTGCTTCTTTTAAAATGCTTTTATCCTTTTATACTTTTTTTGTTTTTCTTCCTAATTTTTAAATTTTTATTAAGATTATTATTTTATTTATGTACGTGAAAAAATTTTGAAAAAAGAACAAAACCGATTTGGTATTTTTGAATCGTTTGCATAAGTAAGATATTTTAATTAATGTTATTTCAAATATTTATAGTACGCTCATGAATTATTGCTCTATACAGAGAATTTTGTTTCCGCCCTCACGGATACCTGGTAGCTACAGAACGAATCGATGTACTCTACTACATATTACGTATTTTTAATTCGTTTTAGATAGATATATCAAAGAAATGGAATTAAAGTTCTGCAAAAGTATTTTACCATTACGGTCACTATTCGTTTTAACCACTAACGAACTTTTGGACGAGTTTCTAAATAAGTTGTTTCTCAATGAAGTTAGGACTTTAATTCTACGTAACTTCTTGGAACCTGATACGTCTTCTATATGGTTTTATTCTTTTAGAAAACTTTACTGTGAAAACGCATTAGATAATTTTTAGGTACATTATCAACTAAATGTTATTATCCATGTCTGTAGAGACTTTTAATTAATTGATTTTCTATACCAGTTGCGTCTCGAAAATTGGCTCACCTATAATTTTAGTTTTCAGATTACAGAACGAGATTTGGTATATTACTATATTACATCAGTTAGAATTGATTGACGTATTCAATTGTTTTTGGTCACTACCTGCTTCACCGGAAATGACTACAACTTTTGATTGATAAATGGCACCACCGGTATATTTCTACTTTATTCTATAAAATGACATTCTGGATAGATGACATATCATATGTCCAACTTTTGACATTTTCGCTTAAAAACAAATCGTATTTTAAATTTCAATCCTGAATGCCATTGGCTACGTTAAAAAGCACTAGAATTTTTAATCAAGGGCCTTGGAAAACTAGATTGGATCGTCTAATGTTTTTCGTGTCTGGTCCTGGCTGGTTAAAAAGATGCCCAAATCTTATTTTTAATCATATCTCAATTTTTTGAAATGGAACAAAGGTGGCTCATTATCATATTTGGAAAAAGCATTTCTTACGAATAACTTGATACCAAACACTTGGTGTTTCGAGTCAAATTGTCGTTATGAACCGCATGTGAGAATTTGAAATAAACCATGCATATACGAAAATGTCAAAAGTTGATATAATATGATATTTCATCACTGAAACGTGATAACCTGCTAACTCCATTTTTTACGTTAATAAGTTTTTTTTATACCATTAGAAAGAGAAAAAAATACTCTATAAGTAGGGAAAGCAAATACATTTTTTCCCATTAAAGAAAATTTGCTATTTTAACTCAATAATATCTGCTAACTCCAAGTGATCTGAAATAGTCACCGAAATGCTGCTATCTCCATAATTTCCGTTACGATCACGCTAAATTAAACATACGGATTCTTATTCGTATGTTTCTTTAGTACAGTACGTCGATCTAGGGTCGCACTAGGCCAAAGGGGCCCGGGTGGCAATGTAAGGAGGGGCCCGTGTGGATTTTTTGCGTATTTTTTCGCCTTACGTTTTGGTCAATTTTTCTCTATTATATACAGGATGAGGCTTAAATAAGTGCAAATATTTTTAGGGGTAGTATATTTCGACCCAAGAAACACGATTTGGAGTTTTTTTGCGCGATTTTTTTTTGAGAATTTGGAATTAAAAAAAAATTTGGAATTTTTTTTAATTTTTAGTTTAAAAACATACTTTGTTTGTAATATGGCAAAATAGGTAGTAGATTAAATTTACAAGAAAGAAAATCCAATGATTCTCAAAATTATAACAAAAAATTGGAAAATTTAAAAGTGAAATAACTCGGTTGTTTTGGATTTATTTGAAAAAACGGTAAAGAGAAAATATTATGTTTCTTTTATCGAGATTTACCAGCCCTGAAGATATTTGCACTTATTTAAGACTCACCCTGTATAGAAATCAGGGAATTAACCTAATGCAAGGTAAACCAATGCAATGCAAATGCCATAATGCAATGCAAAAGCAAATATTGTTAAGAATAAATAATGAACTACAAAGGGGGCCCGCGAAGGCTGGGGCTTCCTTAATAGTTATATGCGTATATAATGTGGCCAGTCCGACCCTGCATCGATCCGTTCTGTAAATACGGGGTATCCGTAAAGGGTAAAGGGTAAGGGGAAAAACGAAATTCTCTATATACAAGCAATTCATCGGCGTGCTATAAATAGTTTAAATAACCATTTACTTGTACAAGAAGTTCCATAATACCTAATCAGTTTTATTTTTATCAACGTTTTTTCACGTATGTAAATGATACATAACTTTTATAAAAATTAAAAAAATAAGGGGAAAAGTAATAAAAATTTAATAAAATCACGCACTGTTTTCCAAGCTTGGTCTACTACCGTTGTATAAAAAATAAGATAAGCATGGAAGGATTCTACCATATCTTCTAAGAATTATAGGTTTAATTTTTAAATTATTTTCATATTCATTAGGTCCAAAATGCTGCTACTTCAGTTATTTAAAAATGCTTTAAAAATTTGGACTTGTATGTTTTGCTTCTAGACCGACGATATTATAAAAAATATATGGTTATGGTTATGAATATCATATATTTTAAATTTAATTGATTATTTCTAAATCTGTTTCGGTAATATTCAATTCCATTTTCAAAATTTCAAACAATAAAGGTTGCTATCTCCAGAAGTATATTTTTATTTCTTATTTCTGCAAGACGAATATCTACTATCTTTCCCTATTGTGTATAGTGAAAAAATGATGTAACAGGAAATATTGGAATTATATTGTTTCCAACAAATAAAATTCTTATCTCTTTATCCTTATTAACGCATGAAAAATACTTCCTACATGTATTTCTTTTATATCGATTTTTGCTCTCCTGTAAAATTAGGAATAATCAGACAGTTTATCACACACATTTCACCGACGATTTATGTGAATTCTATTTAAAGTGTCATTTTCTATTGAATAAAGTAGAAATACAACGAGGGTGCTATTTAAAAATCTAAAGTTGTATGATGCATTTCCGAGGAAGCAGAGTGACCAAAACAATTGAATATGTCAATTAATCTTAATTCATGTCATATACTAATATGCAAACCACGTTTTTATCTGAAAAAATAAGTTATAGAAGTGAGCCACTTTTGAAACGCACCCGGTATATTCTTTTATTCTTTTTTGGCATTGATATAATAACACTTATATATTTTATATTTTGAAAATGTTGCAGTAAAAATATATTAATCATAAATAATAACACTCATGAATGTGATCATAAAACAAAAAGAATAATAGAAGTTATTTGATCATTTTATAGGTTTTCTGAAAAACCATACAGAAATTACCTAAATTAATTTGATTTTATTTCTTTGCTTTGTTTTCTCTGTAATGCAAGAGTGTGTATCAACAGTAATACTTTTAACTTTTTTCTTGTTTTACCTTCATTATTTAATAATGTATTTTTCCTTTTTTGTCTTTTTTTATACATTGGAGCATGGTATATTTCTAGTCACGTACTTGATACCCTATATTTAGCCAAAAAAACATGGTCGTTTTTTTGATAAATTTCCTAAATTAATTTGATTTTTTTGGCTTTCTCGCTTTTTATAGTCTTTCGAGATGACTAATCTTTATAAATTTAGATGTTTTCTTTTTTGTGGTATTTCGTTAGCAAGACAAACATTAAAAGAAATAGAAATGTAATTGATAGGTACCATTCGATTTTAAATATATTTAAAAAAAATCTTTAATATTATTATTTTTTCTTTTTTCTAGATCGTGTAATTCACTGGACGCTGAAAACAAGTGTGTGGGTAAGTCAATATTATTTTGTACCTATACTTATAGTTTATTTTTAATTATAATATTCTTATAAAATGTAGTATTTTGTTTCTAATGAAGTTATAACCTGATTTATATCTTTGTTAGTTTTTTTCTTTCTATTATACGATTTTTTTCTTACTTTTGGCTTTAAAATTAACGAATTTTTTGGTTTCAAACCATTAACCATTTATCTCGTTTAGTATTCTTCTTCTTCTACTACTTAAATCTATAGTCGATCTGTTGCCTCTGTAGAAGTTCTTGGGAGATGGACTGCCAACTGTTTTTCTATCTTTTTGGAGGTCTTCCCGGCTGTCTCTTACCCATGGGTTTCCCTTCAATAGCTATGCGTGGTAGCCTGTGATCAAATGATAGATGTTCTTCCATGCGTCTTACGTGTGCGAACCATTGTTTTTTTCATTGCCTACCCCATTTCACTACGCCCTGTATTCCACATTGTTGTCTGATATTTGTGTTTCTAATTCTGTCTCTTCTAGTCTTCCCCATTATGATTCTTAAGTTCTTCATTTCAGCGACTCTTTACATGCTAGCTTTGTTTTTTACCTCTGGGGTCTATGCCATATATGTATGTCATTATTGGTCTGATGCAGGTCTAATAAATTTTAATTTTGCTGTCTGTTCGCATGGGGAAGGGGTTTTTCCACACTATTTTCCGCAGACATTCTGATATGGTTACGTTTAGTATTCACTTTGCAAAAATGCATATCACGTCTTTCATATAATTTCTTGCTATAATTCATTTATTATCTTTTTCTATTGGCGTAGTCTAAGTAGAATTGTGTTTCTGATCCCATGTTCCATCCATATTTGAAGACACGGGTGACTTCTTGTGTGTCTTTTGAAGTTTTAACGTTAGTTTAAGAATGAACAGTTTTCGTTATCGTCATCATCGTCACTGTTCACCTCTTATAGGTACATAGGACATAGGTTCTCTCTAAGTTCCTCCATATCTCTCGTGATTCTGGGGCGTCATTATCCAGTTTCCAGCAAATTTCTTTATATCCAAGCGTGGCTCTCTCCGTTGCTCTTTGTCCTACTCTCAGATTATCTGCTGACTTTTTTTTGTTAATGTCAGCATTTCCGCTTCACATGTTATCACCGGTAACATACATTGTTCATATATTTTTCTCTTCAGGCAGATTTAATGACTTTTAAATGCGTCTTGTAATTTACAGACCATCTCAAACCTACTCTACGCTGTATTAATGAATTGCCTATTCTGATGTGTTTTGCAAACACTAGATTTGACATTATTTAGGTTTCACTTCCGGAGCGTTTTGATGAGGAGGAATACTTCAAGCATTAGTTTTTCATGGTAGATATTTGTGTGACAGTCTTCTGCCATCGACATTGATCCCTCTATTCTCCCAAGGTACGGATTTCATTGGGACAGCTGTTAAAAGTGTAGGCAAAATGATGTCACCTTGTCGAACTCCTCTGTCTATATTAATTTCGCCTGTTGTTACTTTTTCGTGAAGTTTCGTAGTTGTGGTGACATTACTGTATATATATTTGATATCAATAAATCAAGGGCGAGATTTTTAAATTTATTTTTGCTAACCATGGCAACATATTCAGCGCTGTACTGACTAAATGGAATTTAAATTTTGTGCTTGGGATTCAGGTGGTTGCTCTGTGCATTAAGAACCTCTTTTAGTAGGAAGTGTACAAGATAGTTTAATAGCCGTAAAAAACTCATCGCAACTTTATTAGATTATTTTGAACGGAAAAGCGGTAATAATGACACTTTTTGTCCCTTAAGTACTGTTAAGGAGGTGATTTTTGTTCATGTAAATAATAACTGTTTATATATTTTATAATTAATTTATTTTTGTTTCCTAAAATATTTTGATTAAAAGAAAATAAGTAAAAGTGGGTATCGCTGTGCCGGTCAAGTTTAATTATTAATCACGTGACTAAAAGTTTATTTGATATAAACTGTATATTCTATAAAATTTGGCGTACACTGCTTCAGTACGCCTGTTATTGAGGCTAATTTTACCGTGTCTCATGCTTTATGAAAATTAATAAGTCTATTATATTCATAGTATGTGGAATATAATAGACCTTTAAAATAACCATTAATTTCGTTTTTCTTTTCCTGTCAAACACTCGGTCTAAAGCTAATCTATCCGACAGACCATCAGCCTCTTCCTTCTGTTTTTCTTCGCCATCCCTGATTTTAATTCGTTCGTTTGTGACCGCAGACGCGCTTCAATAAAACCCAATTAATAAAATCCGATTAAAATTCCCTTTGTGGACCAGACCCAGAGACAGAGCGGGGGTGTGGAAATGAGAAAGGGATGTTGTTAGTGGCAGAACGACGGTCTGTAAAATACACTTTGGCTTGTTTCTCCACTCTGGCTTAATTCCCTCATCCAAAATTACACACATTAGGGAAAGGTCGCTTCTCTCTTTCAGTAATTACATCTTGGGATGAGCGACGGGGTTGGAATGACAGTTTTGGTGGAAAATTCAAGGTCACGTTTTCGTAGACTTTGTCAAAGATCGTTGATTAAAATTGACAAAGGTGCATTTTTCAAATTTGTAATTTTGAATTTTGTAGTATTAGCAGTTATAAAAAAATATTGGAACGTTTTTAAGAATAATTTTCTTTTAGAAATATACTGGAATTGGATTAAGGTTGATTCTCACTATACCTTCCATATCAGCTCCCTTCCGTTTACATAAAATATTATATCATGTAAAGGAATAGGACAATGCACACTATCCGTTCCGTTTCCCTTCCGTTCCATATCCTTTTTTTCCATACATTTTTTTGGCAGACGGACTGAAGCGTATCGGAAACAGCGTTGTCAAATTCTTACATTTCTACCATCTCTGTTAACCTTTTGCTGATATTTATTTATTCTTTTACCTCTTAATTAAATCTATTACCATTTTCAAAGATATAAATTGTACAATAAATAGTATGGAACTGATACGGAACGGAAGCTTACGTATAGCGTCAATACAATAAAAATATAGAACGGATATGGAATGGATATGGAATGGAAACGGAAGGTATAGTGAGAATCAACCTTTATTCGGACATATATCGGAACAGCTAACGCAGAATTAATGAAGTATCCGGATTACTGGAGGATAATATATGTATATAATATATAAGTATGAAACAATATCATTATAAAAATATAATGTTATTGTTTCATACTTTTATTGTTTCCAACCCATATTTGAAATTTAAACACATTCTTATTTAAATCAAAACACCAAACGCTTTATAGAACGCATTAAAATTTATTGTACTTATTGAACCTACATGTACAGGGTGGGTCAAATTCGACGCTTTTAAATGGAAACACCCTTTTCTATAGGAGATAGACAAAAACTAATATCGGTGTCTGGAGCTCAATTTTGTCAAAAATATGATGGTGAAAACCGCATATCGATATCTGTTACCGTTTCGAAGTTACGGGGTGTTTTTGAAAAATACGCATTTTTAACAAATCGCTGTAACTTTTCTGCTATGGAAAATTTTGAATTTTTATGAAAACATTTCCAAAGCACCTTTTTACGAAGAATTTAATGGTTTAAAATTTAATGGTTTAAGTATAATTTTTTTAAAATTAATAATTTAAGAATTATCAACAGAAAATTTGATTTTTTATATGGGACACCCTGTATATTTTTAATTTATTGAAAAGAGTTTAAAATTACCTTTCCAAAAATATAACACACTTGATATTTTGTTCGATTCCTCTTCGAGATATAGAGTATATAAAAATTCGCCCGCTTTAAATAAGTAGGCTTTGAACGGCACCGGCTGTATTGCAAAAAAATTCTAGCTGTGAGCATCAATTAAAACGAAAATAATATTTGCTATGAGAGATGCAGAATTTTATAACAATTTAAAATATATTTAACCAACATCAACACATTTAAACTATATCTAATAACAATAAAACTAAATAGCAAACCAGGACATGAGATTTTGCTACAGTTGTTCGACATATCGACCATCTTCTGTTCTGGACAGACGGGGCAGTTTTTGAACATTTCTCGCGGAATTCATTAACTCAGTGGGGGTGCAAGATATCCTCTCATAACTGCTAAGTATTTATAATTCTTGTCTAGATTATACGGAAGAATAATAAACCTTTATTCTTCCGCAAATATATCCATAGGATTAGATCCATGGCCACTAAGTCAGGCTGCCTCGACGGCCAACGGCTGGGATCTTGGTTAGCTATTATTCAATTATTCTTGAAATTGTCTGCAAAAATTTGCTGATAATTTCAGCGTTCAGAGGCGGTGCGTCGTCTTGCTGGAAAAATATGTTTTCGAGTTCCATTAAGGGCATATCATCAATAAGGGATCCAAAGCCTACTAGTTAAAAGTGGCGAACTTTTAAAAATTCTGTATTTCGAAGGGGATTATAACAAAATATCAAGTGTGCTATCTTTTTGGAAATGTAATTTTAAATACTTTTCAGTTAATTAAAAACATAGAGGGTGTCCCAAATAAAAAATCAATTTTCCTGTTGATAACTCCTAAATTATTAATTTAAAAAAAATTTACTTGACCCATTAAATTCTACGTAAAAATGTGCTTTGAGAATGTTTTCATAGAAATACAAAATTTTCCATAGTAAAAAAGTTACAGCGATTTGTTAAAAATGCACATTTTTGAAAAACACCTCGTAACTCCGAAACGGTAACAGATATTGATGTGCGGTTTTCACCATCATGTTTTTGATGAAAATTGAGCTCCAGACACCCATATTAGTTTTCGTCTATCTCCTATAGAACTTTTTTTCTCCGCGTCGAATTTGACCCATCCTGTACCTATATGCACCTATAAAATAACTCACTTACTAGTTAGTACAATATTCATTATAAGTAAATACCTATACACTGTATCAATTTTAAAAAATGTGAAAAATCGGAAAGTCACGTCATTTTTATTTGTAAGAGGAACACTTTAAATGAATATTTTTAGCCTTTTTCTT